GCGAGAGCTGGCTTCACTGTCTTGAAAAGGCACACAGGCTACAATTCCGAAGGCTTTCAAAATGATTTGTTTTAATGCCAACCTAATGTTCTCTTATTAACTAATCGGGATTGGAACTGTCAAGTGCGACGTGCAGGAGTACTGTAGGGTCTCCCTGGTCCTCTCACTGAAGACCTGCACCCCCTTCTGTTTCCCATTTCCTCCTGGGTTTGACCCACATGCCTGGCAGTGTGCCAGACAGAGGAGAAAGGAAGGGACCCGCACAGGTGTTCACGGTACAGAGTGACATGCACAGCGGAGCCGTGGGGAGTGTCATTCTCTGAACCCACAGTCACGATCAGCCTCATCTGCATATCTGTCTTGAGGAATTATGGGATACCCAGAGCTATTTCTAGGATATGATTTGCATAATTGTTCTAGCGCTTTGTGAGTAATGGTGACATGGGGTCTGACGGAGGATTGTTTAAGAATTTTGTAAGTTGCTTTGTAAGTTTTGCGAAGCTATCGGGATTGAATGCCTTCAGGTGTGTATTTAACAATCTGTATCTAACACCAAACACAACACAGTGACACAGCCACAGTGAGTCTTCTGCTGAGGGCGGCCGCAGTTTGACTGTAGCTAGGGGTGTTCCCTGGAAGTTTGTCGTGTAAGGTTCATCCCTCCTCCTACCCCCAACACCTCTTGACAAGACTAAAATTCATTTAAGCATCCTAAGAAAATGTACCGTGGTCACGGGCCTCAGTGACTTTCCCTCCTGCGTGGGCAGGTGACATCTTTCAGGGTTAGACACTGGCGGTAAGAAGGTAGTATTTTCGTAGTATTTGGAACGTGGGTGCTCTCATGGTCAAAATACACGGGTAAGTTTAGGTCTTTCTGGTCTGAAGAGTCTGCTTGGTTGGCTGGCAGTTCTTATGACTGTGTTCATACAGGATCGTAACCCCGAGGATGACTTTCTTCTGCATTGGGACACTCACAGGTCTCAACACGCCCCCCCCCCTCCGCCCCCATTTGGCCTCACACCTGAGCTAGCTGACCGCAGCACAGACTCCCGTTTTGCCTCCTAGGGGCCATAACAGCTAAAGCCCACCTCAGCTGGACCAACCTGTGTCTGCCCGTCTCTCACCAGAAAGCCCCCAGGAGGCAGTGAGTCTTGACTCCCTGCCCCAGACTTTATGCTATGGTCAGTTCCAACATCTAAGCCGATTCTGGGTGCCTGTGGAGTTGCTCCTCCCTTCTGTGGGGCTGACACTAAAAAAAAAAAAAAAAAACACGAAAACCAAATTATCCAAAGATGACACAATCAATTAAAAGGTGTCACAAACTAGCTAACATTTAGAAAGAATCCTTCCCTCGTTGACTAGGGTTGGGGTGGGAGTGCTTTACCCAAGAGCCGCTTCTCTGTTCCTCCTGGGAAGGGGCGAGGCTGCGGGTCATCTGGGGATCACCTGGGACTCAGTTCTGCCACCTTCCCCACGCTGTCACTTTCTGGGCCCAAAGACGGGCGCAGGGTTACGTTTCTGCATTGGTGGGGGAAACGGGGTGCGTCTTCTTTTAAGTAGGTAAGGAAGACCATGGCTGCTCAGAGCATTCCCAAGAATTGGAGCCCCACGGCCCCACCTGGGCAGCTGTCTCTGGGTGTCTATATGGGCAGCCACAGGCCCAGCTCAATCTAGTGAGCAGGAGAGGGGGGAAGACATGGGGCCGTGTGGGCGTTGGGGACCAGTGGGCGGCCCAACAACAAATTGTGAAAGACAGTGGCGTTCGGGAGAGAGCTTCCCAGACCTCTTTCTCAGTCAGGACCTCCTCCTCTCCAACCAAAGGCAAGAACATGAACAGAGAGGATGAATATTAATAATAACCAAACTAGAGCACCACGGTGGGCGACCTTCTGCTGTCCGCCTCTTGGGAAGCAGGGTGCCATCTTCCAGGATTTTATACAACTATTCATTCGTATGCACATTCGGGTCCTGAAATATTTTGCTCCTACATTTTAAACTCCAATTTGGGATTTTCAAAAATACATATATGAGAGCCGACTTCTGGGTCTGGGCTGCGGCTCGGTGGTAGAGTGCTTGCCCGGCAGGCTTCAGCCCCTGGGCTCCATCCCTGGTACTACAAAAAGGAAAACATCTTCAGGAATACAGGCAGCTCAGCGAAGGTCCTGGGGCACGTCTGCAGAGAGTCACCATTACCAGAAGATGGGCTGACATCACTGATATCACAGCAACGTGGCTGTCCTGCCCACCTGGGAGGGTGCTATGGCTTTAGATGTGGTCTGTCCCCATGGGTCATGGCTGGCAGTACTGGGGGGGGGTGGACAGTGTAGTAGGAAGAACTGGGTCATTGAGGGTGATGCTCTTGGGACAAACGGACATGATTCCCATAGGTCTACGGTTAGTTCTATGGAGAGGGCTGTCTGGCTCCTTCCTCCCCCATCTCTCTGGCAACATGACCTCCCTCTTCACCATGATGTCATCTGTCATGACAGGATACAGGGAAAGATCCCCTCTTCAGAGCTGGTGCCACACTGCTTGGATTTTTTGGTCTCCAAAAGTATGAACTAAGTAAGGCTTTTTAAAAATTTCTTTATAAAGTTCCCAGCCTCAGGTATCTTGTTATAGCAATGGAAAATACACTGATACAGATAGCAACTAGTAGGGCCCTGTCAAGAAGGTACTGACTTGATTTGCTTAAAAATAACACAGAAGGGATGGAGGTGGGTGTTGAGCAGTTAGAAAGGGAACAAGTTTGTCATTGAAATGATAGAAATAACATCTGTATGACAGACAGATGAGACTTCCTTTTTAAAACTTGCCTGTTTACAATTTTCCATAATAAAAGTTTTGTTGATTTGCTTGTTTTAAGAATGAGCCAAATGCACACATGCCAGGCTTAATCACATCTATAAGGAAACTCAATTTGGGAAACTTCTCAACAGTTACTCAAATCTAACTTAATAAAACACAATTTCCCCTAATTTTGCTTGTAAAGCTTTTGAGTCTTTGTAACAAAAACTTTTTCCCCCCATGAATTACCCACATTTGAATCAAGATGAAGAAAATTTGGACATAAACAACATGGAAATTTGCTTGGAAGTACAATCTAAAGATGTGAAATCATTCACATGTGATCGAGTTTATTTTATCTGTGCCTTTGCCTTGAACTTTAAAGAGAAACTTATGAAAAATTTCTTCCTGGAAACATAGTAAGCTATAGATAGAGTTGATCCATTTTCCTTCACTGGCTTTGCAAGCAGTGTCAAACATTCGCTTTTCACGACTTTGGCCACAAAATGTTTTGTTTTTAATGATTTTTTTTTTTTTTGTAAGAGAGAGAGAGAGAGAGAGAGAGAGAGAGAGAATTTTTTAATATTTATTTTTTAGTTTTAGGTGGACACAACATCTTTATTTTTATGTGGTGTTGAGGATCGAACCCAGTGCCCCGTGCATGCCAGGCAAGCGCATTACCGCTTGAGCCACATCCCTATCCCTGTTTTTTTTTTGCAAAGGTGTAACATTTTATGTATTATTTCACCTTTTGAAAGTGAGGTAAAAATGTATCACTAAGTAATATTGAGCAGACACAAACCAACTTTAGATGAAACCAGTGGTTCTCGTGGAGAGGGACATCTGTCCTCACCTGCAATCTCTTTCACAACATCTGGAGACGCTCTCAGTCATCCCAGCCAGGAGGTGTTGCTGGTGTCTGGGGCAGTGGCCAGGATGCTGCTGGACACCCTAGACACAAGTGTGGATAGACACTCTGGCCTGGGGGGAATGCATACCTGCATTACCTGTGAGACCTTGGTGTGGTGGAACCTGCCTGGTGGCCCTCCTGTCTGCCCCATGGGGGGCGGGCCATGGTGCAGCCTCACACCTCTGGGCAGGATGGACAGCATGTGAAACCCCCAGGGGCTTAAAGACACACCAGGTGTTCACTCCACAGAACCTGGGCCCGCTGTCACGCACCCCGACTTCCCACTGGCTCCCTTTTAGTCTCTGGTGTCCAGCGCACACTTTATGGACCACACTGTGCTCCTCTGGGTGTTACTGAGTCTGCTGGACAGTTCTTTCTTAACCTGCTATACTAGCCACACCGTCCACCCCTAGAGGTAAGCAATTTTTTACAAAACTGGGTTGGGGTATGTGAAAGCAAAATTGTTATCAGAGCAACTGATGTTTTTCTTAACTTTGGTGAAAATGGACCCTTGACCCAGTCAAGTTTTCACTCCTTACAGAGCAGGGTGTCTTCAACACGCTATAAAAACCAGTTGACCCAGATTGCAAAACTGCCTGTTTCTTTACCCATAATTCCACTTGCCCATTTTTTTCCCCCAACAAACTTGCTAAGGGATGTTTCTTAAACACAGACTTAACTAAATCAAAAACAACCATTCTCTGACCAAGCGTGGTAATTAGCACAGCAAAACCGTACACATCGATGGGGCATGAGGTGCCAGGGGCAAAAACACACACCATGTACTGCTGTGAGCCATGGCCAGGTATGTAACTACAAAATGCACATTTTTATTTATTTATTCTTTTAATGGTTGGTGGGTTGGCGCGGGGAAAGGCCAGTCAGTGGAACACATCTGATATGTTGTTTATTTGTGACGTTAAGTCAATTTGCAACACTTGGTGGGGTTCTCGAGGCCACGTGGCCTTGGCACCACTGTGCAGCAGAACCCAATGCCCTGCCTGCCCACCCACCACACAGGCTCCGTCACGAGAGCTCCAGCACAGGGCTAACCCTCGGTCCGTGCCAGGCCTGCTGCTCTGGGACGTGGCAATGTCCCTTCATACTCCAGAGCTTCACTGACGTGCACATAGTTTATTTGTCGGTACTACCTTACGATCCATGCAAACACCATGGTCCTGGATGTAAAATAAAAACGCACATCACAGGAGGATAATTTTTTGCCAACCTTGGAGGTGTCTTTGCCCATTTTAGCATGTGGCCTGTACAGGAATGTGCTTGTAAGAAAAATGACAACCAGGAGAAAAGTGAAAATAGAGTCTTAAAGTAAATCAAGTGCCGTACAGTACTGCCATTATTCTGATACAGAATTTTCACACAGCAATATTGACACACGTTACACAGGACAGGATATCAGGCAATCCATTGCAAAAGAACTTCTGATGGCAACAAAGTTTAAATTGTAACAATATTGATTTAAAAATGGTAGCTAGAGAGCTTTACACTGGATTACAATGAGTACTTCTTCCCCAGTGACATATTTTTTAGAACATCTCTAATGAGGGGACTTTTTAAAATGTAAACTTCATAAAAAAAAAAAAGGAAGAATACATGTGCTATTGTATTGGAAATGACTTCTTTAACTCAAGAAAAACCCCAAATCTAGGAATCTGGACTGGATCCACGTGGTTTCCCACTGATTCTGGCCGCCCCAGTTCATAGCAGAACTGAGGCCCACCAGGATGGCCGGGTCAGGAGGCTTCCAGAGGCCCTCCCAGTCCCCCCTGCCAAGGAAGAGTGTGGAGTGCCTGGCTCTGGGGTCCCCTCTTGTTCTCACTGAAGGATCCGGTGGACAGCTAGGCTCTCACCAGGGAGTCCACCAACAGGACACAGGACACAGAACTCCCTCTTAAAAACGCCAATAGGGCAGAGAGGGAAATGGAGAAGAAACAAGGCCTTAGATATCTTTTAAGAGACAAAGACCAAAGTGTGTGTGTGTGTGTGTGTGTGTGTGTACACTGTGTGTGTGTGCGTGCGTGCACACACACGCACACACACAGACACAGAGGCAAGAATGGAGCAGGGGGGTGGATAAAAAAGAAAATGTTCCTGTAACAAAATACCAATTCTTATTCCCATTTTTGTACAAGTGGGTGAGTTATTGGCACTAACAAAGTCAAACCAAACCAAAACCCAACAGGGAAATGAGAATCGGTGCCGAAATGCTCTGCTCTTCACATTTCTATCCAAAATTAAAATTCCCTTTCAACAGGGGAAAAAAAAAAGTCACTGAAAAATCAAAGATGAAATGTTACTTGGAAGCCGGGCGTGCTCCTCTCCGGCGCTGCTGGTCGGGCAGGATCCCAGGTCGGGCTCCGCAGGCCTCTGGACCCTGTGCACGTGGAAAGTTCCTTCTCTGCAGCCATCACTTGTGGGCTAAACAAGTAAAGCGGTTAAATGAAGTCCGCACACAGGCCAAGCCCGGCAGGCAAGGGCAGGTGTGGTGCATTCTCCGTCCGAAAAATGGAACCTGAAAGAAAAAGGGGCACGGAGTCAGGGGACCAGCTTCAGAGCCCATGAGCCCTGGAAGCCGCCCCTCTGAGAGCAATGGAGCTTCCTGGGTGCTCTCGCCGTGCGGTGCGCGGGACACTCGGTGCCTCCTGTCTGTGGCGCTTTCCATCCTTGCAGACACTCGTGAAGATGGAAAAGGCTTTGATTACACCTGTGTGACAGGTGAGACGCCGAGGCCCAGAGCGAGCTCGGCAAGCCGTCGAGGTCACACGGCTGGACCTGGGGCTGGGCCTCCAGCTGGACCCCAGACACCAACCTTTCGCCTTTCCCTTTGTTTCTTTTTAGTGTCCCACTCCTGAAGCCCCTAAAGAGGAGCCCAGTACTTGGGTCCTGGCCGCAGCTATTCAGTGAGCAGACGTCAACGCACGGCCAGCAAGTCACATGCCAACTCACACCTCTGCCGCGGACGCTAGGACTCAAAACACCGAGGTGAAAGAGGAAAGGAGCACGATGATGGGAAGAATCAGGTTCGCTTTGCAGAAATGGAACCAACTGGCCCTGGCTACAGCTGGCCCAGCAGAACAAGGTGTACTTGGTCCCCAGGGTCACCCTAGGGGCCTAGCTCAAGTCACCAGTGGAGCTGGGGAGGAGGCTCAGCCAGAAGCCGGTGAGTGGTGGGGCGCTGTGCCCGTGGCAGTGGGTCTGCTCAGTACAGGTCATCCCTAGAGCAAGGAGGGCCCCAGCCAGCTCTCCCCTGGAGGAGGGCCTTCTTCACCTCCTGCCCAAGGTCTTGCAAGTGCTCTGGAGAAAATCTAACCCCAGGCCTGGAGATGTGAGGGGCTCAGGGAGACGGGAAGGCAAGTGGCTCATTCAGGGTGACACGAAGGAGGTGAGGATCCTCCTCTGGCTCAAACAGGTGGAGACCTGTGTCCCGCCTGCTTTGAGCCCAGGGCTTCCTCCTGTCAGGAGGCCTCATCAAGTAGGAATCCACTGAGCAGGTTTCTGCCTTTCTGTCCAGGGCTGTCCTTGTCAGGGCAGGCCACTCCAGCCCCGCTCCAGGGTCAGACTCATGGGTGGACCAACCCTGTGGGTGCAGCAGCCCAAGGCTGAGCTCTGGGCGGCTCTCTCCTGGCACCAGGCTCACCTCCTCCTTACCTCCTTTTTCCTTCTTCTTCTCTTCCTCTCTCTTCTTTCCTGCCTCCCATTTCCAAAATGGTTCTGGAAGGGTCAGGGAGACGACTGAGATCAATACACACAAAGGGAAGAACGGGAGGCAACGGGAGGGCAGGTACGTGGTCAACCTGGGCCTGGCATGGGCCGCGGCGCCCTCTGGCCTGGGGACACGTCACCTCTCCTGGGGCTCTGGCCACACCATCTACCTGCAGGCACACTGCCCGTTGCTCAGCTCAGGGCTGGTGCTCAGAACGGTTCCATCACTGTGTGACTCAAAGGGTGCACTGCAGGGACATCTGCTGCCCCCAAGCATGGGAGGAGGTGGGCACAGCTGTGCTGGCCGAGGCCATTCCACCCGGGAACTTGGAGCTTCCTTTCAACAAGGCACCTAAACTCCTGCCCAAGCCAGGGCCCTCTAGCAGGGGCGGTTCTGACGGACAGATGCCAGGCTCTCTCCAGACACCTGCTTGCCCCCAGCTGCGGGGGGGGATGCCTACCCCTATAGAGAGGGAGAGCAAGCTGCCTGCATCCCGAATGGCCACGACAGCCCCTCACAACAAAGCATGGTCTAGTCCCAAGGGCCAAGGGTGCTGGGGTTGAGTAGAACCTACAGCCCATCCAGGGAAAAGGAGCCCACAGAGAGCACGACACCTCCAGCGTCCTTCCTCCTTCCTTCACCCAGGAATGCCCCACGTCAGGGCCGATGACAGGTGCCGGGGACACAGCAAGGGCTGAATGGGAAATGACCCGTCCTCCACGTAGGACGGATGCCAGGGGAGACCGTGGCTGGACCTCAGCACCTCTGAGCTCCCTGAGCGGGTCCTCGCGCCTCGTCATGCTGATCACAAGGGAAGCAGCAAGAGGAAAAACAGCACCATCCAGGGCCCGGCTCAGGCCTCAGGAGGCTGCAAGGACAACTGTCCCCAACCCAGGGCCAGCTTTTCACTGTTTTGAGCAAAGGGCTGCTTCTGGATGCCCCCGACTGCGGTCACCTAGATGCCAAGGGGAAGAGCACCTCATCGCTGGGTCCCCTTCATTCCCAAGTTCGGGCGTTGGCTTCCCCAGGCCCTGGCTCTTTGTCACCACGCCCTGACTGCGAGTGCCAGTGGGGCGGGGGAGGGCTGTGTCCACCTTACTGTCTTTATGAGCTCTTAGCCCCTGGCCTGGTAGACAAGTGACACTCAAGAAAATATTTGTTACAGGCTCACCAGCTCTGCCCCAGGCCTCCTGTGGAGACTGCGAGCCCTTTCCTGAGGGCCAACAGGTGACCATCTTAGGGTCCTGGTGCCAGTAGGCCCAGCATGACTGACGCTGCCAAACTCAAGGGGCAGAGGCACTGCAAAACCGAGGCTGAGGCCCCTCATTTCACAGCCACAAGTTTTTTTGCAAAACTTTCAAAAATACCTTTGCATTCTTTTTCTTATTAAGGACACCAAGACTGCAAACGTCAATGTGGATCTGCTGCTGGGGACCTTAACACAGTGATTAGATCAGACCGAGCTGCAGGTCCTCTTCTCATTCCAACCCTGGTGCCTGGGTTCCAAGACCCAGCCTGGCTCCCCCTCCTCGCCCCAGCCTTGTACCATGCACCAGCCCAGAGAATTTCCCTCCTCCCCTTACATCTTGAGTTCCTCGTGACAGAGCAAGACTTCTGATATCCCCCCCAGCAGGTGCGTGCCCATGGCTGGACTGGCCCGTTTGCTTCTAGATCCACGTGCCACATGACAGAGCTAACAGGTGTCTTCTCACACAAGCTCTAGAAAGTGTTTGCCAAAGGTGCATATTTGAACCATTCAGCCCAAACTTGATGGTTTACTCTGGAATTAATGGATCGCTCAATCCAGGGTCTCAGAGCCTGCAATTCCAGACAGATTCTAGAAGTTACCACTGTAGAATGTCAGGCATGATTTCCCCTGTTTGTGGTGCTCCTAAAGAGAGAAGAGCACCTCTGTGAAGGCCAGGTGTGGGGTTCGGGTAACAGTGGGCCTGAACCGACACTGAAATCCTGTGTGTGACACTGGACTGTGGTTCAGCAAGATGCTCCCGTCAGGAGAAACGGAGCCAAGGGTGCATAAGGCCAAGGTGGAGAAAACCCGTGTCAGACGAACGAGGGCAGGTTTGTCGGGCGAGTGTCTGCTGATTTGAACCTGTGACCATGGTTCAGGGTGGACGGTGGTTCAAGACATGCCTGACAGGGACAATGAGGACAGTGGCACATTGTGTTTTCTTCTACCTGTCACTGATTTTTAAAGTTATTTACTCAGTCTTTTAGCTCATATTCTGAAATTGTGTTTGAGGTTTGGGCATGCAATGGCTTTAAAAGTGAAACCACTCATAATTTTTTAAGTCTACAATAAATGGTTTTCAAAAAATGAAAAAGTCTCAGGTTTGTATTTTAAAAATTTCCTCAAAAAGTGAAATGTATAGGTCAATTTTAAAATGACCTTAAAAAAGCTTACATAGTAGGGGGCAAGGCCCTGGGTTTCATCCTCAGCACCAGCACAAAAAACAAAAAAATATTAAAAGACTAGAGGCTGAGGCAGGAGGATCGTGAGTTCACAGCTAGCCTCAGCAAAAGTGAGGTGCTAAGCACTTCAGTGAGATGCTGTCTCTAAATAAAATACAAAATAGGGCTGGGGATGTGGATCAGTGGTCAAGTGCCCCTGAGTTCAATCCCTGGTTAACCATCCCCCCACCAAAAAAAAAAAAAAAAAAAAAAACAATAAAAGATTGGAGGAAACAGTTATTTAAATTTTTAAGTTGGAAATATTAAGCAATAAAATATAAATATTAATCACATTAATCCAAATAGGATAGAAAATCTGCCATAAACCTTGTTCTTCAAGTATTTCCATTATTTTATGACTGGATTTTATTATGAGAATCATAATCCAAAATAAAAAAGTATAGCGATTAATAGAAATTTGAATTTTTTTTAAAGGGGAAATATTTCCTGTAGACATGACTCAATGTCATTTACTGTTAAAAATATATTTTAAATGAATACCTGTTTGAAAAGCTATTATTTGCTTAAAAGTATGTTTTGAAAGCAAGTTCTTTCTTGATGGATTTATTTTATTCTATTTTTAAATTATCAAGTGTAAAGTTAAAAACTATGCAATTATAAAATAGCAGCTGAGCAGTGACCGTGAACTCTGCAGGTCAGCTGGTGCATTTGAAATGACGTCCCCTGCCCTCGATGGCCATCCAGTGCTACCCACAGCCCTGCGGCATCCATCAAATATGTTTGTTTTGTTTAGCACATTTTGATGGCTCACAGCCACCAAACAGTGTCTCCATTGTCCCCATCCACTAAGGGGCACTAAATTTTAGGGTACCACTGAATGCATATCCGAGGTTCACCAGGGGTTTCTACAGGAACAACTTTCTTTTTCACCTGTTTTGAAGGGAAGATAACAGAGAGATACTCTGGAAGAAACTAGATTTTTTTTTTCTTTTCCAAATTGGCTAATTTCATCTGTAACAAGTCTATGACTTACTCTTACATCATCAAAGTGACTTTGAAAATGTTAGTTTCAAGACAGGAAAAAAAAAAGTTAAAATTGAGTTCTAGAAACACATTTCAAGTGGACAACTGAATGGGGACAAAGTCAAAGTCTGACCCCAAGCCTTGTCTTTCAGTATCTGTGTTATTCTGTCACTTCATTTCACCATGAAAACCACAGTCCCTTAGTTGAAGATTTCACTATCAGACTGTGATGAAAACCAAACGCTGGAGGTCCACGTAGGTGACCAGAGGCGGATTCCGTTTGCTCTCTGGTCCACGTGACAGTACACCTGAACTTGGAGTTATCTATGAACCGGAGAAGCCGCCTCTGGTTCTTTCCCATTTGGGAAGCTCAGCAAAACCATCGGGCACTAGAGTTGACCTGTGGAGGGTCAACTCATCCCCCCAAGCACATGGATTTGGTGAAGTCAAGGGGCATGTGGTCAGTCGGGAGGAAGCCAAGGTCAACGTGTGTCCCCGAGTGTAGACTGCAGTCTCAACTAGCTCCTGAGCCCTGTGGAGGCTCCATTGTGACCAAAGTAAACCTGCTTCTCAGGAATCAGTGAGTGTGAAGAAACACACACACAACAGTACTCAGTGTGGAGTACCTGGCACGTCACAGCCCTCGACAAGCGGCAACCATCAGTGGTACTAGCACACAGATCACACACGGTGTCCTTTTCGGAAAGGACACGAGATTTTAGGGTCTAGGGCAAGTGGAGTTATTCCAACACTGCATGAAACAAGGATCCTTCAAGGCACAGGGCGAGAGCAACCGTTTCATGGCCAACGACTTAAGTGCACCAAGGACGACTCACATTCAGTACATGTGATAAAAAAAAATGGGGATCGATGCCCAGGGCACAGGGCCAGCTTCAGCTGCCCATGGGGAGTCTGGCATTGATATGGACAGCTAATCGTTTGCAACCTTTTCTGTCTTGAAATGACTAAGAATAAAAGGTGCATGTCATGCCTTGAAATGACAGTACTGTCTTGCATGGTGAAACCACAGGCAGGAATGGCCCCAACGTAACAGGAAACATTTCACAAGGCAGCCACCGGAAAGCCAGTGGCTAATGCAGCCTTCAGAGAGGCCCTGTCAATGGGAATCCGTCTCACAGCTCACAGAGCTGACCCTTCTGCCAACAGGCTGCAGGTTATTTCACGGTGTTCACTCCAAGATGGATTAGAGGAAAGAGGTCTCATTCTATTGCAGTTTGAAACCCTAACTCGCCTGGTAAAAAGTAAGAGAGAATGTGCAATTCTATCTGATTTGAAGACACTCAACCTGTTTTCAAATGAGAGTGTCCAGAGTTCTGTCTCCATCAGGCTACCTGGCTGGGGGCTCATCTCAATTCCCCTGGACTGCATTTCACTGATCGGCGGAATCAGGAGGGGAACCAGAGGAAGTCAATGCAGCCTGCATCCCTGGAGGGCACTGCTGACCCATCAGTCTGAAGGCAAGGCCCCTCCAGCTCCACGAGCTTCTCTGCTTCCTTCTGCTTCCTGATGTGATGCAAACCTGCTGGCCCCTCCAGAGGGGCAAGCCTGCAGCCTGGGGACCCCACCCCTAAAGCTTTGTGCAGACACTCCTACAATCCCATGGCTACCCTACACATTGTCAATAACTTTCCCAAAGCATCATTTAGATTACTGTGAGCGAGATGCTACATGAGCAAGGAAGTTGGAAATGTACATAACAATAATCTCTAAAATCATGGACAATGCATCCCATAGATACAGAGGTAAAATTTAGAGCTTTTAAGATATAAGGATAATGGTATTATCCATGATTTCTGAAATAATAACAACCCCTCCTCCACCACAAAGGTTATTCTCTTGTGCCTTATCAGCAGATTGGATACTACAAGTCTTTTCAAGAACTTCTATACTGTGGTTTCTATAAAGATGCATAGTAGAGTATCCTATATATTTTGTCCTAAATAATTTCTAAGTGAATTCGCATGGGAGAAGTTATTCTGATGAAGTGCCTCTAACTCTAGGATGTGGGTGGGAGAAGCCTGGTTCTTTGAAACGAAAGGGGAGAGAAAAGAGTTGTCTTCCCATTGTCATCTCTCCCGACTTCCAATTTCAAGCAAACTGTCCCCAGTTCCCGTCATACAGGTCTTTCTCGGGGTGGCTGGGCAACATAAGAGAACCCTTATGAGGCCAACTGACCTTCCGCGTCAGCGGGTGGCAGCTGTCTCCCACTTTGCCCATCGGTGTGCAGATCCGGATGCTCTTAACCCAGATGCTCACAGCGCAGCACATGCCTCCACCACACTGGGGGTCCTTGTCGCAGGCCTGAAATGCAAGGAACAAACAGATAAATACAGACGGTGGGAGAGACTCAGGGTGGGGGAATCTAAAATTAGAAGGGAAATGCTCCTTAAATATCCAAATGCTATGATTTTAAATAACCACACACACACACACACACACACACACACACACACATATATATATATATATATATATATATAAAGCTTCATCTGCTCGCACATATCCACAATAAAATCTGATCAGCATAGATTTTTCAAGAGTAGACTAAATAATGGCCTACACATTATGAACCCTTTAAATAGAAGATTTTTTAAAAAATAAAATCAGCTCTCTTCTTCCAGAGCTTGATAGCTGAATTGGCTTTAAACTTGAAGAGTGAGTCTATATTAGTCTTAGACGGTACGTGGCCATTAGGAACTACATAAATCGAATTGCAAGATTTTGTGACTATTAACTACAGAATACATTGGGCCTAGTTTTGAAAAGAGATTTAAATGGTTTCTAAATCTGGCACGAAGCACTCCAGACCCATAAAGGCACCAATGTAAATTTTAGACGTGTTCGTTTTTCCCTTTCAAATGTTTGCATTTTGGTTCATGAGGCTTGGTGTTTCTCACACCACTGTCGTGACCGCCACCATCTCCTCCTTAAATGAAGAGATCTCATAGGTCGAGAATGGACAGGTCAAGACTCTTGCCTTGTGCGCCTCCTCTTTCAGATGAGCAGCTTGTCAAGTGGAAATGAGTGGCTTAGGGTGTGACTCTGTATCTCACAGTCAGCGCATCCTATAGATTCAAAGGATTAAGAGGTGCAAGTAACAAATGCAGTGTCCATGGCAGTAACTCCAAGCACATGCTCCCAATATAAAAACCTAAGATAAATACAAGGACTCAGCTATGGAGGAATTTCCAGCCTCTGCTGAACAGAGACAATGAAGTCTTTAATAAAATGGATCCAAAGAGTGATTATTTTTTCCTAAAACCAATAAAAAGTGGGATGCTTTGTCTAAATGGTGTGCAATAATGGGTTTTACTTGTGATAAGGTAAAAGCATCTCATGCTATACATGTAAGAGCCTACAAAGGCTATAATTTAGGCACAAAGTTAAATGTGCATTTATTGTAAACAACTAAAACAGTCCTTCTAAGATCTCAGTTTTGAGGCCAACCGTGACTTTTCAAAACAAATATACGGACATGTTCTTAGCATTATTTTTCATTAAAAGTGAAATATCTTGCTTTAAAGTTTATTTACTTCCTCCTTTAGAATTTTCTCTCTATTTAAATCGAGTATGTACATTGAAAACTACAGTTTTCACTCTGGATGGTTTGGATTTCATGGGACAATATCCAAACATTTGTACGTGTGTCAGAAATCCCGTGTACATGACTTTCACATTCCGTAAGTGAGATGTCCAGTCAACAAACTTTTCCAATATGTTTTAAGAAATCTTTATGGACGTATGAATCAATTTCAAAATACCTACATATATTGCTAAAATAAATACTTCGGGTAGAAATCTCAGCCAGTATTTTATTTCAACAGATGGGTGATAGCCTGAATTCTGAAGCCCCACCCACTCTTTTTAGAGCACAATAAAAAATCTAGCCAGAATCTTTTAAACCTCAATCAATCACTCTGGTGTTTAACATTCTCTATATATGTAACACATGTAGAGAAGTCACTAAGTTTTTCAGTTGAATCTAGGTGGTTCCTGTCAGGGAGACAAAAATGACACTTTATTGCCACATGGCTTTAGAGAAGTTTTTTTTTTTTTTTTTTTTAACTCTTTTTGTAGCACTGAATTAAAACAATAACAATAGCAAGCATAGGACTATGTATCAAGCCAAGTCTAAATCTCTGTAACAGACAACCAAGGTGAGAAAATGTTCTTTTGTAATAAAAGGTTCAGCTCTTGGACAAAACTTAGGAAGAAGTAGATAAGTTTATCTATTTTTAATTATCTGTTTCCTAATGCCCTTCATCCCTAACCCATGCAGACCCATTCAAATAGTGCTGTCCTGTGAATAGAACAAAAAGATACTTATATAGCAAAGGAACCTTGGACACAGGATTAGTAGACATTTAAAATGAGCCAGCAGGGAAGAGGGAGGAGAAAGACTCCACAATGTTTCAATTCTCATGTGTCAAAAAACCCCCTAAGTCCTTTTGTTCAGCCACACAGACTGGCCACTGACAATCTATACAGATAATTTGTTTTAAAAATACTCTAATAAAACCACAAGTTTATAATTAAATATCTTTTGGGTCTGACCAAATGCTGTCAGCACTGTGACCAATTAGAACAGAGAGTTAAGCCTTACTGCATTTCCCATTTATCATCATTTCAAATACATGTGTTATTTAAACACACAAAATGCACTTTGATGTTTCAAGTAACTTAATGAAATAAATGAATTTAACGCAATGAAGCAAAATACTTTAACACTTAGGAAAAGAGTGGAACACAGGCACAACCAGCAAACAGCAGCGGTTTTGCAGTGATAATGGTGAACTACAAGAGGCTTTTAAAAACTGTGTGCTGTAAACTCATTCTTCAGATTCGCCTACGGACCACGGCTGCCAGTAGGAGAGGACTGAACTAGTGGCTGCTTCCAAAGCCACTCAGGACGCCCTCTGGAAGTTGACACATCTAGTGGCCCAGACTCCATCATCAACGGGACACTTTACAGGGAGAACCTCAAGAATCCAGGAGAAGCGCCTGCGATTGCACAGACACAGCCCTGACCCAAGTGATTTCCAAGGGCTCTTGTGGAGGACACCCGGGGAAGCAAAGTCCTTCCATGCTGGACTAGGACCCGGGGACCTGGGGTATTCCTCTTTCCCTCTTGCTCCTTTGCAACTCAGGGAGGGGCCGTCATTAAAATGAAGGTTCGAGCGGCAACTCGGAGAAAAGTACCTGAGAAGGCTAAGAGACTTCTTTCTGCCAGACAGACAGACGCGCCTGACAGAGGAGCACAGAGCAGGCTTGCGGGGGAGCCGGGTGAGGTCGCTGGGAGCAGCTGGTGGCGGGGGTGGCGGGTGACCCCCATGGCTGGGCAGGGCACTTTCCCCCGTGCGCCAAAGGCCGTCCCGAGCAGGTGTCCCGGGCAGATGTCCCGCTCGGGCCACGCTGCCCGCGCGCCCTGGGCTCCCGTCCCGCGCCTCCCTGGGCGAGCCCCGGCATGCCCAGGCGACAGGTGCCGGCGGGCGGCTTACCCCGGTGATGACGGCGGCGTCCCCGGCGGGGGGCGTGAGTAGCAGCGGCGGCAGCAGCAGCAGCAGCAGCAGCGGGACGCAGCGCGGGCTCCTCATGGCGCTCCGGGCCGCACGGCGGTTGGGGCGGTTGCGGCGCGGAGAGGAGCAGCGGCGGCTCCCGCGAGCCTCCGGCGGTTATAAAGGCGAGCCCGCCGTGACTCACGCCCGCCCGGCAGCACGCGGGCACGGCGCGCCACACGCCCCGCGCGCCCCGCGCCCACCCCGCGGCCCGCGCCCCGGCCGCGCACGTGCCGGCGCCCCGCGCGCCCTCGGGTGCCACGCTGGCAGCGCCCCCCACACGCGCCCGGAGCTGCGCTCTTGGGGTCTCGGAGACGCTCGGTGGCTGCCCTGTTTCCCAAACCCCACGTGCCAGCGCCCGCAACTTGCAGATCATTTGCTCTGCAGATGTTAGGGAGCGCCTAGTATGTGCCAGGCGCCCAGGACACAGGGCGCGCGGGCTGGGACACACCGAGGCCCCCAAACTGTTCCCGCGTTCAGCAAGTGTGCTCCAGGCGCCCACTGCCTGCCAGGTACTGCACCCGCTCTGTCCCACGGCAGAGCAACTTAGCAGAAAGACAGACAACCAACAAACGCCCTGGGAACGTGGAGGGCGGGGCGGGGTGGGCTGGGGGAGAACAAAGGGAGCGCAAAGCACCCCTGATCTCACACCCGGACGACCGGCATGCCGAGGGGTTGGTCCTTAACAGCTGTGCAGCCTTAGGTCTTTCCTTTGGAATGCCTTCCCTCCTGCTCACATCTGTACCCAGCCCTCTCCTCCCTGATCTCCTCACTGCACTCTCTCTCTCTCTCTCTCTGCAGCTTCGAGCCAGTCCCAGGCAGAACAATGCAGACCGATGCCAAGGGGAAATGAGAATGCCTGGCTTCCTGTGCCAGTCTGGGGCCCCCTTAGCCCCAGGTAGGCAGCTCGCTTGCTCTTGAATTTTCCAGGCTAGGAAAATCACTCTTCAGTTTTTCAGGATGCCGTATGGCATGACTGTGATACTTTTACTCAGGCCAACAAGAACTGTCTACTGGGTTCTAGACTTCCACGGAGAGGACCAGCCACAAACGTGCACCCCATCTCCGACCCTAGGGTCCCCCAGCCCCCTGTTCACCTTGACAAAGTAGGCATTGCCACACCAGACCTGCTGGCTCCCTGGTTTTGGGATGCCCAGATTTTCCCCAATGGCCAGGATCTCTGCTTTCCCCTGTCCCTTAAGGACCACAAGTTGCTGAAAAGCAGATGTGTCTTTCAGCCTCTTTAATAAATGCAGTAAGGAGAGCTGGGACAAAGTTTCAGACTGTGGGGCTCCCTCATGCCAAAGCATTCAGACAAACTGCAGGGGAAAAAAAATTAGAAAAGATGAGGCAATTATCCGAATGTCAAGCAGCTGAATATTTAGAAAACCAAATCTTTGAGGGACTTCTAAAGCCTTTTTTTAAACACATGTTTTCATGTTTGAGAAACATCCTGGAACAGAAAACACAAAAGGAATCAACCTTCCCCCCCCCTTTTTTTTAACTTTTAAAAAACTGTTAAAATTGGATTCACAGTAAAATAAGTGGAAACAGTAGCAAGTGGCAGACTGGTGGAAAGTTTCCTTCCAGTCTCCATGCCAACGGGAGCAGGGAGCACTGCCGGGTAAATGCAAAAACCAGTCCACGGAGACTTCAACATTCCTGCATTTTTTTTTTTAAATAATGGTCTATTTCATATTTTCTACTATTAAATTAAATGCCAGGTTGGGTATTCCCTGCTTCTCCAAGCCTAGAAAATAGGCTCTGTCTACATAGGAAAAAACCGATTTCAAAGTGGCTGGTTTCTTACAGGGCTGTTGGGAAAACCATCTTCATAAGGCTTTTTTGAAATAAGTTTGGAAATACTTAAAAACAGGGTTGGTTTGTTTTAATGTTGCTTCTTTGTGGACTCTTCTCTGCCCTCTTCCCTTTCTGTGCTGGGGATCAAACCCAGGGCTCTGCACATGCTAGGCCAGGGCCCTCACACTGCACCACATCCCCAGCCACCCTCTGGGACTTTTAATTGTTTTATTGCTGTACAGAAGCAGTGAAGGCTCTTGATACAATGCTTTGAATTGGTGGCCGAGTCAGAAAATTGAGTCTGACTTCAATTCTTACAAATGGAAAGATGAAAGAACGAGTTTGGATTAGTCCATATAATAACCTAGGAAGACAGACCTACCAACAATGAAATCAAAATTGAAGAGTCGCTTTCTGTTCTGTTCTATTACCTCGAATGGTTGATACTGCCCCCCGATCATGGAGCCCAGGAGAGCCTGCAGGAGAACCAAACCTGTGTGTTTGGGAGTATAGACCTGCATCCCCACGGCGGCCGAGGCTTTGCTGAACTGAAGGCATGATCCAGCCGGGTTATGTGCTCATGAGTCAGGTGGACCTGGACAGGAAACCTTTGTGACCACTGGGCAAGCCCCTTGACCTCTTTCAGCCTCTGTTTTCTCCCCTGTAAAAGGACAAAAATACTAGTCTCATGGGTTATAGTCATGGGGGTTTAAGGGAACAACCTTCATTGGGGGTTTAAGGGAATAACACCTGTAAAATACTAAGCACAGTACCTGGACTAGACGGGGAGCCCTGTTAGGGTTACCTCTTAGTGAATTTTACTACCTAGGTCTCTGCTGGAAATTTTAACCAACACTGATATAGGTCTTTTCCAGTTTGCTCACCCAATTAGATGCGCACTCCTGATTAGGACTCGTGTCTAATTTCCTGCGAAAGCCTCTTGCACACAGCTTAGAGATACACATACAGCCAGCCCTCAGGAAATAACTGGTGGTCCATAGGAATATATTATTCTGTAGAGGGAAGTCTGGAGACAGGTTGCAAGCAGACAATGCACAGTGTAGATATTTAATTCACACAAATCCACTAAATGTCGTGGACCTGGTGCAGGTGAACTGCCCGCCACTCTGTTCAGAGGATGTATGACTGAAACGAGCTGAGCTGGCAGACAAACCCGTCTCAGCCAGCCACTCGGCGGCCCTGGTTGGTGAAGACTGCATTTTAACATGATGGACAACGTAGGTGGTATAGGAGGTTAAGCTGTGTCCCCCACGAAACTATTTTCAACTCGTAGCCCTTGTCACCTGTGAATGTAACCTGATGTGGAAGGAGGTAGATGTGATCAAAGGTGAAGGTGAGGGTGGGACTGGGTTTCAGTGTGTGGTCCAGTGACTCGGGTGTCATCATTAGAGGAAAAGGAGGTTTGGGTGGAGTTGCAGGGGAGACCCACAGAAGGGAAGGCCACCTGAAATTGGAGGCAGACATCAGAGGGACACATCTACAAAGCCAGGAGCACCGGCATTGCCAGCTACTATCAGATCCTGGAAGAGGCAAGGACGGACTTGTCCCCAGTGTCTTGGTGAGGAATGTGGCCCTGTTGCTGGACTTGTAGCCCCTAGGATCATGAAAGAATACACTTCTGAGAGCACCCAGTTCTGGTAAACTCTCCGGCAGCTCCAGGAAGCTCCCACAGGTAGGCAGAGCTGGAAGGCACTTCTGCTTTCAGCGGCACTGCCTGGAATTGATGTCTGTCACTGTTGCTCACATATCAGTGACCGACACAGGTCATGTGACAGCCTGTCTAGAAGGAGACAGGCCAGGCAGATCTGCAGGTTTCTCAGGTTTGTGAAGAGAACCACAATCTTCTGAGCAGCACTGCACCCTGAGGAGGAGGGTCCTCCTGAGCCAGCTGGAATGATCTTAGGAGATATTGTTACAAATGGTAACTTGTTGCTGCCGCCTTCCCATTCTTCCTAGTTCAGTGCTCCTTGCACCAGAATCATACAGAGACTCTGAAAGAAGAACGAATGTATGAGCTGGGGATATTTTCATCTAGGCAGGTAGTAAACCACCATTTGTTCATTCATTCATTCATTCAAGGAGGATTTATTTCCTAAGCACATAATTATATGCCAGATATTGAGCACAGCATGATGGGAGGCATTCAATCAATGCTCACTGACCAAATGACTGAAAATATGGAGCAGGGCTGATGGGTGGCTCCTGCGCATCCAGTCAGGAGTCAAGAGGAAGAGATATAACTGATTCACCCAAGAATAAAAATGAGTGGCGTTTGCTGTTGGTGAAGATAAAGGGTGAACAAGGCAATGTCCACGGGCCTTGAAGACCTCACTGGGGAACGCTGGAGCTAAACCTGGGCCTGGAGAAGGGCAGGCACACAGCCCTGGGCTGCAGAGACAAGGCTGAGCTAAAGATAAGGTTCTGGCCGAGAGGTTCCCCTTAGATTTTCTGTTTTGTTTTAATTTACTCTTTTCACATAATATAGCCACAATGGTAAAAATCTAGAACAGAGGCTGGAAAAATGTGACCTCGGTCTATTTTCTTAAATAAGGCTTCACCTGGACAGTCACATCTGCCCTGTAGAGTCCTCAGCAGCTTTGACACTACAACGGTGGCACTGAGTACTGCGTTGGTTGAGGACTCGTGAGTGCCATTGCTGGGATTGAGAAAGCAAAACGATTACGGCTTGGCCCTTCACAGACAGTTTGCTGAATCCCGTTTTGTCTAATTGTCCTCAGGGCAAATGTCTTACCCCTCCTTCTCTTGGTTCTCTTGTGAGGTCTACGCTGGGGCTCTCTCTGTTACTCAGGGAAGTCACCTTCTTCTCGAGTTCTGGGGAGTCGCCCAAAGTTGTGGCTGGTCAGTGGATCGCAGTCACCTTATCCTGTGCACACCTGCTTCAGTCGCCAGTCACGCAGTAGACGCTCAATAAACACTTGTGGGAAACTTCTCCATGGCCTCAGTAAAGAAAATTTTTATTATTCTTTTAGGTGAAGCTCTATTTTTAAAAGTGACTTCAGCTTGCTTGAGGACTTACTTTGTACGTGTCTCTCTTGTGGTTGCTGTTTGTTCGACTTCTGATAACTACAGCATAATAGGTGGGCCTGGTGATTTCATAACTGGATCCTGTTGGTCTTTGTGTAAATGATGTTTCATTTACATGGGTTCCAAAAAAAAGTAGAAGAGCTTTCTCCTTGTTTCTTCACCTTTTATCCTTTATCACGGTACCATGGCTTTTCTTGTTAACGAACCCATAAAATCTGTCTGAATTATCTTTTTCAAATAATAACTGTGCTTTAAATGTGACATATGAATTGCTTTTATAATTCTAAATAAGCCATCTATTTTAAAACCGAGTTAAATGCTGATGATCTCTCTTTATTTAAAAAAAATAAATCACCAAGATTCAATTTGAAAGCCAATTGTCTATGGAGGCACTAAAAATTATTTGGTCTATTCAAGTGATAATGTACAGTAAAGTTTATCTATTTTTAAATAGTTGAAATATTAATCCAGGAGAGAGCGTTTTTCATAAAACAATTAGCACAAGATGCATGAGGGGTCAGGATGAGCATCTGGTTCTAAGAGCTCTGGGTTTTATTCATTAGGATGCTGAATGTATTTAATATTCATTTTTACCATTGAAGATGGGCCTTCAGGCCAAAGCTTATGCATCATGTAGTTTATTCAAAGGAAGATTGTTATGCAAATCTGTAGCATATTTGGGGACTTTCCAGACAGAAAGAGAAAGTCTCATAGAAAAGAGTTTTCTTAAGAACCAGGGCCAGGTAATGACCTCTGTTATTTCAGGTCCAAGCGGACCAGCTGTCTCACGCAACTAAGCTCCACTTAGCAATTTGGTTTCCTCCCTTAGGTTTGAAGGACGCCGATGTCTTAGAGAGGGGAAGCACTTGGAAGGAACAAGAAGACATCTGGGTGTAGGAAATGATGGGCATAAAAAACCTTAGGGTACAAAACAAGGATACAAGCTCCTTTTCGCTTTAGCAGTGTGAGCCTTCGCTCACCCCCATGCACCCTGTACCCCGTGGGTAGCCACTCTCCTAATCCCTGTTTCCCAGAGGAACGTGAGATTTGGAGAGATCGGCTGTTTAATGCGGAATCACAATGAGGACTAAGAAGTGGCGCTGGCCCCCACTGGGCTAGCCTGCTCCATAGTTAACTATCCTCAAACGGATTGTGAAACCTCAAGGTAGCCAGTCAACGCCTGTTGTGTGCGTCTCCCCCCACCTCAAACTGAACCCGCCCCCAACAACTGGAGGCCAAGGCCAAGGGACAAATGGCAGACTTCTATAAAGGAGAGTTTTTGTTTGGGGATCTTTATTCCCCAGAGAGACCCCCTGAGAAACAGCTGGTGGAGCTGCTTCCGTGGGAGGGGGTGGGGCCAGCACAGCTCCTGCTGGGCATGGCCATTGTCAGGCTTCTAGAGGGGCCTGGGTTCCATCTCTCTCAAGGTCAGTGGCCTGTCTAGGTTTCCAGGTCAGCAGAGGAAGGCGGACCCTGGGCTGAGGACTCCAGCACAGCATCTGCAAACAAGGGCTTCTTCTTAGAGGAGTACTGAATTGTGTGACAGAGATATATATAGAGAGAAAGAGAGACAGAGAGAGGGGGGAGAGAGAGGGAGGGGGGAGAGAGAGAGAGCAGGAGAGAGAGGAGAGAAGGAGAGACAGAGACAGAGAGGGAGAGACACAGAGAGAGAGGGAGAGGGAGGGAGGGAGAGAGGGGGAGAGAGAGGGAGAGGGAGGGAGGGAGAGAGAGAGAGGAGGAGGAGGAGGAGGAGGAGGAGGAGGAGGAGGAGGAACAAGAACCACAGAGGGCAGTCCCAGGAGAACGGTGGCCAGCCTGAGGGGTCCTGGTGGGAGGAAGTTCCTCCAAGCGGGTCCCTCTTGACCCTGGGGAGCGGGACATTCAGAACACACAGCCACTGCTGCTGGTTCCTGCAGCCCTGTGATGAGGGACCCCAAGGGCCTTGCTGAGGAAGAGGCCCCGGAGCAGAGGCCGGGAAGCCCAGGGAGGACGTTCATCTGACCAACGCTCTGCCACTCTGATTTCATGACCCAAACTGTGAGACTTGTCACAGGCTCTTGGCTTCCCCTCAGGGGCTCTGAGTGAGTGTACCAGCTGCGGGGGACCTCGGACAGCCGTCAGTGGATCAAGAGGAGGCCACCTTTAGAGGCCCGGCCTGAGAATGGGCATGTCCTCACCACACAGCCCACACCAGTGTGACTTGCTCCAGAAGACCAAGGAGCCCGGGCGTGTGGCTGGAGTGCCATCAAAGAGTGGGATTCGACATTGCACTTTAGTTGCATGTGCACAGCGACCAGCACCGTTCACAGTTAAAACTCTTGCACACTCCTATGGAGAGGCTTGCAACTTGGGGCTGGTGAACAGCCTGAAGGGCAGGAGACAGCGAGCTGAGCCCACACATAAAGGGTGACCTGCTCCCAAGGAGATGTGTTGGCCTCAAAGCATATTAAGCAGTTCTGATAAAATGATGATAGGAAACATCAAAATAAGCACTTGCTGGTTGCCAGGATTGGAGTGGAGTGTTGAACACGCTTCATCTCATATGATCCTCCCACCCCCTGGGCCATGATCATGACCACAGTGGACAGGCGTAGAGCTCCCGCCATGTCCCAGGCCTGATGCGAGACTCCTAGGGGTCTGCTTCACTGAGTCCTCGAGACCTTGTGACGTCAGTAATAATACTGCCCATCTGTCAGCTTTGGGACTTTGAGCAAGGTCTGAAAAGCATTTCTAATTGACACATACACATGGCCACATTTACAGGTGTGACTTTTTTGGTAGAGAGACTTACAATGTGTCATGATCGAATCAGGGTCATCAGCATCTCCATCTCTCCAACTTGATCATCTCATTGTGTTGGAAACATTCCAAATGGGCTCGAGTACCTACCTTGAAATAGGCCTCAGGCTGCCGAGCTGCCCATGGCTGGGACATGTCCCTCCCGCATAGCTCAGTGTGGTACCTGTAACCCACCTGGCCCTCCCCCTCCCATCCCCTGTGCCAATTTCTTAGCATTAGGAAAACTGAAATGTATGATCTATGCCTAAAAGAATAAGACGTATGAGAAACATGCTCACCTGTCCCAACCCGAAGAATGGACTGAGAGACCAAGGTACAGGGAAAGCGAGGCTTTAATGACATCTGTGAGACCAGGTGACTAGTGGCCAGGGACTCCCAGGGCGTGATGAGCAGCAAGTTTCGTCACCTGGCTCCTCGCTGGCTGAGTGCTGTGGGGTGCACAGTCTTCCTGGACGTCGCCTAGGTGGTCCTGTCTCCTGTTGGGCTATTTAAGGAAGCATACCTTTAGTTGTTCCCACCTCCCTTTGTTCCCTTGTGGCAAGACAGACTTCCTGGGTGAATGCCTTCTGACACACGTGCAGTTCTTCTTTACCTAAGTTACTGTCTCTCAGCACAGAGACTCTCTCTCTCTCTCAGTCAGGTCGACCCCTGCCCCACCTCCTGTTTGTCGAGGGCTGGTCAGGTGCGTGGACTTTGGGTCTGCCACATCTGTAGACTGTGGTGCTGTTGTACAGGTCAACTGCCTGTCACTTTGTACTCTGCTCTATTTCCCCTCCAGCTGCCTCCCCGACATCTCAGTTTCACACATAAGGCTAACCGCTGTACTCTGAAATGGGCCGCTGGAATTTCCATTTCTCACACACATGTGCACATGTAAAGAAATAACAGTGATCAGAACAACATCAGCACCACGTGGCCAAGCCCAGAGTTAGCATCAGACACCGCCAGGATGCCGAAGCCCACCCGCGCCCTCCCTAAAACATACTGCCCCTTCCCCTGAGATCTGAACACATTCCTGTTTTTTTTTCTGTATTAACCATCTCCTAATTTGACTTCCGTTGTTTTGCCAGTGACATTCAGACCCCCCCCCTCAAAACCACAGCTCTTTCTCCCTTCCCTCCATTCCACCAACGACTCTGCGC